GCAAGATAGCATTGCAACAGTATGATGTAAATGCCATTGTTGATCGGCTGCTTCAGTTTCTGGAAATGGAAAAGGAACACGTGACTGCTGAAACTCTGGTAAGCATCTCATTCTTCTGTTCAGATGCCCGGCACTTGGGATATACTGATTGTTAACAGTTAATTGTGTATGATTCAGTAACGTAGTATTGTAATCTTCTTAAGGCAGCTTAATAAAGTTGAGAATTCTTGTTACAGGTGCTTGTAAAAGATCTTCTCAGAAAATATCCTCAATGGAGTCATGACTGTATCGCAGTTGTTGGGAATATCAGTAGCAAAAATGTCCAGGAAACCAAAGCCAAGGCAGCTCTAATTTGGATGCTAGGGGAATATGCTCAAGAAATGCAGGATGCTCCATACATTTTAGAGAGTCTTATCGAGAACTGGGATGAGGAGCACTCTGCAGAGGTAATAAAATGGGATAACTTGTGCTAGTGATTTTCCTCAACTATATAATTCTTTAATGGTACCACACTGTTGGTCCATACTTGGTTACGTCATGGTTTTTCTTGGTGATACTCCAATTAATTATAGTTTATGGCAAGCAATATATTTGTTGTGCATTTACGAGCACTTCATGTGTTATGAGACAGAGTAAGGTAGATGCTATTTTTTCCCTCTAGTAAGTTTCTAGCTTGAAAATTAGGAAGTTTAAGTAGTGGTAAGTTATTTTAAGTTGTTTGTTTGATTGGCAATAAGTCATCAAATGATCAGATGTCTTCTAAATCTGCTCAAGTGATTAGATTCCTGTGTGTACAGGTTCGTTTACATCTTCTTACAGCAATAATGAAGTGTTTCTTAAGAAGGCCACCAGAGACTCAGAAGGCCCTGGGAGCTGCTTTAGCTGCTGGTCTGGCTGATTTTCATCAGGTCTGACTTGTCTGCATGATTTTCTGGAAAGTTAAAAGATCTCGTTTTATGTTTTTACTAGGCTTAGTTTATGAAGAATGATTGATGGTTGCAGGATGTTCATGATAGGGCCTTATTCTACTATAGGCTTTTAAAGTACAATGTATCTGTAGCTGAACGAGTCGTAGATCCTCCAAAGCAAGCTGTTTCAGTCTTTGCGGATACTCAAAGTAGTGAAGTCAAAGATCGTATCTTTGATGAATTCAACAGTCTCTCTGTTGTGTATCAGAAGGTAACTCTACTTCTCTTCCAATATCCTTTGGAAGTTGTGAACCACCTACATTAATTTCAATTGGGTAGGTAATAATTTACATTATTTAAAGACCAAGATGGATGGCTGACAGATCTTAGCTAGTGGACCCATTAGCTCCATATCTGATAAGAAAATCGTTCAAAAATCCCAGAAGACTGAATATTTACATTTACAAGTGGATTATCTTTCAAATATACTTCTGCAGGCTAAATACTGAACATAAATGTTTACACACGTGCATCTGTCGCCCTGGATACAGAAAATACATTATGTATCTGAAGCACATGGTAACTAATGAAAGTTTCTTGCAGCCGTCATACATGTTCACTGATAAGGAACATAGTGGGCCATTTGCATTCTCGGAAGAACTTGGTAATCTGTCAATTGACACAGAATTGGCAGATAATGTAGTTCCTGCTCAGAGAGTTGAGGCAAACGACAAGGATTTGCTGTTGAGTACTTCAGAGAAGGAAGAGAATCATGGTTCTATTAACAGTTCTGCATATAATGCTCCATCATATGATGGTTCGAGGATGGTAGGTGATTTACAGGCTCAACAAGACCTTGTATCTTTAGACCAACTACCTCCAGCAAACACGCCTGCCAGCTTGGCAATTGATGACCTACTTGGCTTAGGATTGCCAGTTGCGCCTAGTCCTACTCCTCCGCCTCCAGCTTTCAAGCTTAATGATAAAGCTGTTCTAGATCCCAACAGTTTTCAGCAGAAATGGCGCCAACTTCCAGTAGCCACATCACAGGTTAATATTCATAGCTTGACTTTTATTAAATAGTTTTCCATGTGACTTGTGAACTTTGCTTCTGTGCTAATTTGCACGCACATTTCTCTTTCAGACTCCAGATTATGTGCACCAAATATAGGGAGTCAAAGTGGTAAAGTTTTCTATTGTAGTTCGCTTAATAGCATCTCAAAAGGATAAATGGAACTCCTGAAATTCAATGTGTATAATGCTCACCCAGTCACCCTTGTCCAGATTATATTTATATGTCCTTTTCTCACAAGATCACTGCTCATAGCATATGTCCTTAAGAATCAAATGCATACAGTCATGACTTTTATTCTTCCCATCTCTATTTGAAGACATGCATATGTATCCAATCATAAGCTAGGAAGTAATTTTAAATTCACCTGGACAAAATAAACATCAAGGGTCAGTGGGGGATGACCAGGATGCATGTTTATTTTGCTACTTCGCTAATATATTACTAAGATGGGATTTTCTATCTACATATAATTTATTGTTTTAATTTTGTAACGCGACGAAACTGCTAAAGGGCAGGCAGACATTATAATGGTTCAGCAAATAGAACTTTTATCATTTGTGTTTCTCTCTTCTTTTGATAAACAGTTTTTAAGACGTCACTTCCTGTTCACATATTTTTTCCAATCATCATGTAGATATGTAATCTTTTTCATACACTTGCACTCCGAGGAATCTGATACATCATGTCTTGCCTTTGTCTTGTTCAGGAAATATCCATGAACCCAGAAGGAGCTTTTGCATTGTCAAGTCCTCAGGTTCTTCTTCGACATATGCAAGGTCATTCCATCCAATGCATTGCTTCAGGTGGTCAAGCCCCGAACTTCAAGTTCTTTTTCTTTGCACAAAAAGAGGGCGAGCCTTCTACTTATCTTGTGGAGTGTGTGATTAATTCATCAACATGTAAAGCGCAATTAAAGATCAAAGCCGATGACCAGAGCACATCACAGGCCTTCTCAGCATTATTTCAATCGGCTTTGGCTGAATTTGGTTTGCCTTAGGTATGTATTATGTCGTGATCTTGGTTCTTGTGGGACGAGAAACAGTTGCAGCCTACATAGCTTGATGTAATTCCCTTCTTTGTAGGGATCAAAATTGGAGAAAATTGATACAGAAAAACTTGCATACCAAGAGAGAGAGCCTCCTAAAACCCAAATGAATTGCAATATGCTGTGACGATGAGCTATTTTGTTTTGAAATAATGTTATTCATAATGAAAACTATCGTTAGTCGTCCTACGTGACATACATGTTGTAACGACCCAAAGTTTACATTTGAAATCATTATACATGTACCATAAAATAGTACTTTCATAATCAAAAGAAAAAAGAGGATAATGTTTTCTTAACATGCGAGGATTTAATATTAGTTTTAAGAGAAATACTCCTTAGCTACATAGTTTATTCTTTATTTTTCACCAATGCAAGCACAATTCACCCTCGATCGTCTCGAACTCACATTTTTAGTTACCTATAAAATATTTAATATATACGTGTGAGACATAAATTTCAGTAAATAAGTAATAATGAATTTCATCATATATTTAAATACGGAAAATTATAACATGCATAAGGAGACGCGGGGAATTAAAGTTCGAACTTTGTGGCTATAATTCACGTGTGTGACGTTACTAAACTCTGGTCTTTTGAATTTATACATATAGAATTCATATCATAATCATAACTTGGATTTTCGTATCATCATAGTCATAACATAAATTTTCCTAATTTAAATAATGAAAGAACAATCTATATTACTACACTTATAGACGTATGGAAGAAGATAAAGGTAAATCGAATAAATTGCTCAGTTAAACTTTCACTCCAAAATTCATTGGACATTGTGTGCGCTAAACTTTGTAATGTGAAAATGTTTATATGGAAGATGTGTTGAGATGAAGAGATATATAAAGTACAACATAAGCGTGTGGGAGTGTAAGTGATGCGAGGGGGGTATAAATAGGGGTTTCTAAGGTTTGACCTATTTACCTATTTTTGTACTAGCATTCATTTCTTTATTAACGTCAACACATTTTTTCATATAAAATGTAATCAATCACTCAACAAATTATCCAATCAAATATATTAATAAATATATAATTGCCACTAATAAGATATTGTCATATAATTAAAACATTCGATTTAATTATGTCAAATTTAATATTCTATCATACCATATAAAAATGTAAAATTGCTAATTATAAATGCATAAATAATGTTTCTAATTTTTAATAGATGAAAGTTTGTCTCATTATAATAATTAACCAATTAATTAGGTTAATTGACATCCAAAATTTATATCAAATCATGCAATCACATTTAATCAAAGTAGAAATTAGGTTACTTTCCATAATCTAGATACGACGATCCCATAATTTTTTCGTTGACTAAACATGACAATTCAACGATCATTTCTTTTACCAAAATTTGAAATTAAAAAAAGTGCACATTGAGTCATTCAACCATGAAAAGTCATCAATTTGGTCCCCCTAACGTTCAACATCTTATACGAAGATCCTAAATTCAAGATTAATAACTATTAGGACTTTTCGGGTGTTATACATATGTTGCTTTGTTATTTGATGCATTTACATGGTAATTTTTTATTGGCTCGTACATCAAATGACAAAGCGATGCATGTATGTCACATATGACAACTATTAATAGTATTTATCGTGAATAACATTACTCTTTATTTTCTGTTCAGCCTTCTTCAATTTTGATGCTGCCAGTTTTGGTACCTTGAGACATTGAGACAACACCTTTAAGGCGTTTTTGTGAAAATGCGATGATGTGATGCCTTCTTTGTAGGGATCAAAATTGGAGAAAACTAGTGGTGTCAATGGGCCGAGCCGAGCCGGCTCGACGCATTGTCGCACGAGCCGAGTTGTGGCTCGTTGGCAACGAGCCGAGCTTGAGCTCGGCTCGTGCCTTAGCTCGCCCAAAGCGAGCGGCTTGACGAGCCGAGCTTAAGCTCGGCTCGTCGCCTCGCATAATTTTTTTTTTAAATAATAATAAAT